AACATAACTAATCACAAGTCAGAGTTCAACGAATTTGGATCAAGTTTGGTGCCAGTGGCGGAGCCACCTTATCAACCAGGGTGCTATGATCCACCCAAAGTTTTCTATACTTATCTTTTAGTCAAATTTAAGTTTTGAGTTACCAATTTATAATTCCAAGGTGTAAGCTAGGATTTATGTATCCAGCTTAAGGAAGAGAAAATGTCTATAAAAAACTTCCCAAAATGGGATGAGCTTGATTTGGCATGTGCATGCCAGAGTAGTTTGCCTCCTTCTGTGAGACATGCTTCAATGTGACCATGAGAGAATGTAACAAACAAACACCAAGATTAAGATCCTTCACATTAAATATAATCTAAATCACATGCACATAACTATTTATGGCTCATACATGGTGAAGATGAGATTTACTGGTCAAATATAGTATTAATACTGAAACATATCTCTAATTAACTTGTGAAGCTTTGTTCCCAACCCTCATTTAGAGGTATCCTAGTCAGAGTATGTCACCAACCAAACATTTTTCTTCTCCTGGTGACTTCTCTCTCTCTCTCTCTCTCTCACAATATTTTTCACTTTGAGAGCAACCTTATGAATATTTTTTGGATTATTTAAGCAATAATAATATATGACGTATCAACACCTTTTGCATCTTTTAAAGAAGATATTTAAGAATAATCTTATGTTAGGTCTTGATACGTCAGGGGTTGATCAGCGAAGTCAGGGCAATAACGATGAAGGAATTTGAGCGCTAATGTAGCTAACAGCCACCTTCATAGTCAGTTCATTAGGATCGTCACCGAACTAATGAACAAGTATTCACCCTTTTCTCTGAATAATTCGAACCTTAACGCCAAAATTTTGTAGTCTTACTTTCACTACTTTGATGATATACTAGTTACCAGTAAATCTCATTCATTTGTCCTTATTGTGGTCTCATAAACCTTATCTAATGCAATAATTTAGAAATGAAAAGGGTTTCCTGTGTTCAGTTAGATTTTTTTTTTGTCTATATTGAAATAGTGCATTCACTATTAAATTCTTTCTTATCCGCTAATTTGACCAATTTGTCTGAAATATATTCCCACTAAGATCTCTCCTATGCTTTAAAGCAATGTTTTAAAATCCGTCCTAATCCGGCGGATTGACCCGGAGAACCTGGTAAACTGGGTCGGTTACTATATTAGATCGTTTGTGCACAAAAACTGCTCAAAATCCTATGAACCGGCCGGTTCCTTCCCTAAACCGTTAAAACCATGCATTTTTCAACAAACTAGGCGGTTCAAATAAAAAACACATGTTTTTCACTTTTTGGGCATTTTTGCCCTAATCGTTTGTTGCTTTGGTTGGCCTCTGCCTCTCTCGAGTACTCGACACCTGAAACTCCTCTTCCTCAAGCACTCAGTCATCTCTCACTTTGTTGTGATTCACTTTGTCGATCGAAGTCAAAATACGACGAAGATCTGTGACTTTTGATCGCCATCGTTGAAAATCTGTTGCAATTCTTAGCCACTATCGTTGAAAATCTACTTCACTCATTTGTTCACTTGACCTAGTAGGTACATCTCTCTCTCTCTCTCAGAGTCTCCCTCTCTCTGCAATTTTGGAGGAGTTAGTTGATACTTCATATTGTATAAATTTTGACCTATTTCAATTGATACCATTATCAATTTCAAACCGTGCAATTAGGAGTAGTTCAATATATTAGTAAACTTTAGATGAATCTTGAAATTATTTGTTATTTCTTGTTTGATACATGAAACTAGCCAATGCAGATTAGTCCTGTCCAAACCAATTAAGTTGGTGATAAAATTGGATACATGTTTAATAATTTGTGGGTTTTTGTTTGATTTAATGTACATTAAACATGCTAATATTATAATTATTGTAATTTATTAGTCTATTTAGTACTACTAATATTTTTTTTTTATTTTTTTATTATATTACAGGTCCAACCAATGACTCAAACGTTGAACTAGTTACTCATTAACTCGGACCCTTTCCAAGTTGATGTCCAAACCGGGTTTTACAATTATGTTTTAAAGTATAGGAAAATAGCAATAAAAAAAGTCAATAACCGAATAAAAATGCTAAGATCAAGACCAATGATTGTTCAAATCTAGTCTTGGTACAATGTTCCCTAACATCACATGGGACTTCAAATGGAATAAACCAAGCCAAGTTTATTTAAATCAAACAGCCCACTTCTGTTGCTAGTGATATACAAATCCTCGAATATAGCCGGTAAATGCATGTTGATTTCTGAAAAGTTCAAAATTTTAAATTTCACATTTCTCTATATTTCTGTTATTTTATTATGTTTAATTTGGACAAAAATAAAGTAAGCTTTCATGTTCTTGAGTATTTTTACCTTTCTTTTTTCTTTTTCTTTTTTTGTTAACGAAGTATTTGTATTTAAAAACTCCAATAATGGATCTCTATTATTTTATCAAAAAATTGCCAAGCAAACTAAAACCTATTATTTAGATGGAACATACTTGTTTTCTCCACAACGGCCATTGACTAGTCAATTAGGCTGTTTGATTGGATTGTATAAATCAAAATGAAGTTATAGTCAATTAGACTGGATTATTGTATCTTGAGGATGACGCGTTGATGATTATTGTACCGTATTTTTTATATAAAATAACGTGAATCGTCTTAAAAAAACGACGTAGTCTATGCCTCACCCTGTAGACTCTGAGAGAGAGAGAGATGGATTCTTAACTATCGGTGCTATGATAACGTGAATTGTCATAAAGGAACATGGATTCTTAACTATCGGTGCTCTTACAAAGAGAAATCCCACGCTTAAAAGAGTTTGGATTTAATAGACATGTTCAATTTGTGGGTGATTTTGCACATCCGTAATTGGCATTGTAGCCACGAGTTCAAAAATGTGTGATTAATTGGGATTATAATCTGTCATCCAAAAAAATAAAATGAAAAAGAAAGTGCCTATAGAAGCACACTTCATGGTGTATTTGGTACGGTGGATGAAAATATAGAAGGATTGGAAATAGGAGTGATACATTTTTTATCTTTTAAGAGAGAAATCCTTTCTTCCCTCTTATGTGTTAGGTAGGAGGGATTGAAAGTAGGAACGATTGATTTTTTGATGTTTGGTATGACAAAAAATTAGAAGGATAGAAACAGTATATATGCATATTTTCCTATTATATCTATATATGAAAACAATGTATATATCTGTGAAACCCGAAAAAATAAACTTAATTAAAAATGATAAAACGGTAATTAGATATCAAATACGGGTTGAAAATTTAAATTTTTCTAAAATTCGGATGACAAAACTAACTTCACCGTTGGATTTGTCTCACGAAACCTAAATAACTAGTCAATTTTTATCGAATTCCGAGACAATCGTATTTTTCGAGTTTGTAACGTGATTGGGTATCGCGTGATAAAAATATGCGATCATAATTAATTGTGGAACTATAATATAATTAAAAGTAAATATTATAAAATTATATTAAATATCACACGTGTTGGGACGAAATTGGTTGGGATTAGATGACATGTGGTCCATTTTGGAACAAGTATATAAAAAAAGAAAAATGGGTGACTTAGTTTCCACCACACACCAAAGAGAGAGAGAGAGAGACAGAAGTTTTTTCTAGCAAAATTCAAGAGACGATTCGCCTACAAGCAAGAACTAAACTTGCTCACAACGGGTACATCTATCCGTGGGTATCATCTACGCTCAATTACAACATATTTCAAAATTTGGAGTATTGACTAGCAAGTGAATAAGGCATCATTTAACTTCTTCAAGGGTCTCTCTACAACATGTACACGCTATAAGAATCCACATCCAAGCCTTTCACCTCTGCATTACTCCCGGCATTCTTCAATAAATTAAGAATAAGTCTTGCTGATTTGACAAGCCAACGTCCTTGTCCATTGGAATGGCGACTCTTTGCTTGGGCAATACGCTCAACTCCACGAAAGAAGCGTGTGAATGGAATGGCTTGTTTGTGACCAAGAACATCCTCCAAGTACCTTTTTGCCTTGACCAAAGGCAACTTCCAAATTGCATGCGCAATCTCTCTTGTATTCTTAAAATGAACTCTGATATTTGAGCCCTTGGCTTTGCAAGATTTTGTGGGGTTTTTGGGCTCCCTCGAACATTTACCCATGGCTGCCGCCCCTGCTGGTCTCTGTTGCTAGATGTATTTAGCGCCCAACTAGAGAAAGGTACACACTAAGGTAGAATTTTCCCTATTTAAATGTATTTTCAACCTAGAATATGACATATGAAATGGGTATATGTCTAAGACATGAAATCTTACACTTTGCCTTGATTAGTGTCTCTAATGAGTTGATTGTGAATCAATGATTATGTTAAACCAATCTTTAATTGATTTGGAGTGTTGAACATGTTAAATATGTGTGACATTGATTGTATGCTATTGAACATGTTAAATATGTGTGACATTGATGGGTATACTATGTGTTTACACTTATGCCCTCTAGATATTTGTTAAAATGCCTAAGTGAATTTAAATATGTAAATTGAGTAAATTGTCTTACATAACATGCTTGGGTTGATGTTGAAAATTTTGTTATATTGCACTCATTATAAAAATTGACATTGTAAATGGTATCAAAAACAATTGCATATTGTAATGCATTATGCATGAATTGTATTACATTCATAAGCATTAATATGAGTGAGAGTGTGTGCATGGTATGAAATCAATCACCACATAGGTGAGTTGATCGTGACTCGAGAGAGTCGAACTTAGATCCGGCTAAGTCACATGGATAATTAAATGAATAAATGTGTCAGGGTGTAGCAAGAAAGATTAAACTTTCTCTCACGTGCAAGACTCAGTTACTTAGTTTATACACTTTCTGATGGTAAAATTCCAAAAAAGTGTAATTGCAAAAACGGAGCCGCAGGTGGGATGTCCTGAAAATTCGTTGATAGTGTTGTGTCATATTAGTAAAATTCCATAAATCACAGCCTCACAAAGACACGAAAATGAATTAAATGGTCATTGGGTGTACATAACACCAATGACAAGGACTTGAAATATCCGGTGCATTGCATGGTATCACATCATGTGTCGTGCATTGGGAACTCGGGGGTAGGTTCAGTATTGGACATGCAAACATGAGACATTATTCATGTTTGACATGTGTTGTAACATTGTTACTTTTGAAGATATGTAACACAACATTATACATATATTTCATATGCATTTGGGTTGGGAGGTATTCTCCACATGAGGTATTCTATTGAGCGTGACTCACCCTTTATGGGAATATATTTCAGGTACCGGACAGACATCCGCAGGATGCCCTAATTTGGGCCCGCTTTGACGACAAAACTAGACTGTGGCTATTATTTTTAATGTTATAATTTTTATTTCCATATACATTGGCCTTGTATAAATTTCTAAAACAAAACTTATATTTGAATTAAGGCATGTATATAGGATTCTTTTAAACATTCATTCTTTTTTGAATGAATGTTAATATTCAATGCTATGTGATTAAATATTGATGAATGAACTCGGTGTGGTTAATACTATATAAATGTACAAATTGTGTATTGGGTAGAACTTCTCATACAAATGAGACTCTACTCGAATTTTTTAATTTATAGATCCCAGTAAATGAGGCGTAATAGCGTGGTAGCGAATTATACGATATTCACAGATATTCTGCGGGTTGATGGGTGATCAAAGAGTTAAACGAGACTTCCAGGTATCGAGATGTCACAGCTTCATATCAGAGCTTTGGTATAATTAACGAGGCCTAAAAGGTAATTAGGATTCCCAAAAATTGGGGCGTCATAACATTTATACTACTAATAAAAGTATCTTAATCTGAAAAACTTATGAATCTTTATTTTACTCTTATAAAGAATTGTAAAGACCATTCTATCCTTGTTATAATTTTTTTTTTTTGGGGGGGGGGGGGGGGGGGGGGAAGGAGAGGGGAGGGTGACTTGAACCCTTAACCTTAAGAGAGTAAAGTCTTCACAAGGTAAGGAGTATTATTAAAATAAAGGCCCCTACCATTCTATCATTTTTACAATTAAATATCTAAATTATCATCATATCTTTATGCATTTAATTATCTATAATTTATGTATAAATATTAGTTTCTATAAAAAAAATTTGATTAATTATATTACCCTTAAAAAATATGTATCATTATACTTTTAATAAAGTTTTAAAAAAAAATCGCATCCATCTAGTATTACTCATCTCATATGCAAAGATAATATTTTGTCTACATATTTATATTTTTTTTTCATCAAAAAGTTTAACTTTTTCATTTCAAAGATAAAAAATAATCGTATATTTAATTTTTTTTAAATTAATTTATGTTATATCAACGTAATTCTTCAATTACATTAAATTTTTTAAGCTGTATTAAAATTTTATGTAAAAATAGATATTGTCATGGGTTGTTGTATGTAGGGGTCAGGGTGGGCATGACCCCACCCTCAAAATAAGTTGTGCCCACCCATAAAGTTGGTCTTAATTTGTATATTTGTGAGTTCTTTTAGTTTTAAATTCGTAAATCAAAATTTAAATTATTTATAATTGGCCTAAATTGATCTCTAATTTTTTAAGATTGATGATTGACTTGTTTCAATTGAATTATATAGGTATTATTACGGTTACTTATTGAATTCTTATTTAATTTTTTAGGATAAATGAGAAATAGCTTGAGACAAATCTATTTTTCAAATCAATTTTCAGTCAAGACAAATGACCTTTTTCATTTGCATTTAGAATTTTTTATTTTTTTGACATTTCCTTTTTGTGAAATCTTTTTTATGGACGGTTTGGATTTTAATGGAGTTCAAATTTGTAATCTACACCATTTTATTAGCATACATAAAATTAGAGTCGTCTTTGTCGAAGCCTAATGTCATTAATTGCTTAATGTTATAGAGTTGGGCTTACTTAAAGTGCCTATACTTAAGCTAATGTCTGGCTTCACCCCTGGATATTGTAATGTGTTATTAAATAAAACTTGATTTTTTTAGAATTTTAATATGCTTGATAATATATATTAGAGCAGTATATTAAATCTTATCAAAATTCACCTAACCAATTCCTAATTACAGTAAGGCTTCAATATTATTAGTATATTGACAACTATTTTTATTTTATTCAAAGAATTATAAGTAGAGTCCTAATAAAATGAATTTTAAAAAATTAAATTTCTCAAATATCACTAAAAAAATCAATTTCAATCACAACATTCTAAAAAGAATAAAAGAAAAATTTAACTATTTCTTTTTTTTTTTAATTCTTATAGTTAGAACAAAGAATTTTAAGAACGTACAAAATTTTCATAATCCTATAATAGAATATAAGCAATGAAAAATTAAGTTTGGTAAATTTGAAATGATATTTAATTCAAATACACATGTACCTAATATGTTTTAATTATTTTTGTGTAAAAAATTATTGATGTGCAACACACGTGGTGCATTACTAATAATATGTAAATATATTATATACATAACATATATTTTAACATATATAATTAATTTTTCATTTATTTTTTTTTTCGATTTTGGAGGGATTGATTTTGGTTTGTTAAAAGGAAAACTAATTCATTCACTAATTCATCATTCCTATTTGATTATCAAATATAATGTTTTATCTATCCCTCTAATTTCCTATTCTTCTAATTTTTTATTTTTCTAATTTTCCATCATACCAAACAAAGTATTAAATAATCTTTTTTCCATGTTTGACATGGACAATCTGAAAGAAGGCAAGTTAGTTCAATCTTCTTAACTTGCTTACAAAGATGGAAAAGAGCCAAACCAAAAAGTGGTTAGTTTCACCTAAACCTTCACTTGGGCCACATAATTATTGTTTGGAGACTAAGAATTTGTTTGGTGTGTAAATGTTTACATCATACGTTACCTTCACAAAATATTTATTATTTCAAACGTTGTATGATTTAAAATATGTCAAGTAGAAGAAAAGTAAACTTATTAAAAGTCATTCTTATCTTTTAATCAAACATATTGCCATGAATATCATCAATCCAACAATAATTGGAATCCCTTGGTCAAGAATAGCATGCAAGGTAATTTTTTTTTTCCTATATCGGAGAATCATCTCATTCTTATGCTAGTTCCAATTCTTTTTAAAAAAATTTTTTTACGCCTAGTGACATTGAGAGTTAGGTAGGCAAAAGTCTTTGAAAGTCACGTTTATTGGGTCAACCAAAATTCGAACGTATCATCACAAAGTACGTCGTCACTGAGGCCTTCTCATTTAAGTTATCCAATTATTTGTGTAATGGTACCCCCCCCCCCCCCCCTCTTTCTCCAAAATCCTAAAAAAGAACCTCAATAAACAATCCAAAAAAATGTTTATTTTGATTGATGAGCCCAAATTTAAACTAAACTTGAGTGCAGTTCATGAATTGAGTTCAAATCATCAAAGGGCAAGTCAGGTGTAACTTATGGTGTTAGTTTAATTTAAAGCTCAAAGTTCTAGAAAAGTCACCGTACATGGGAGAATAATCATGGAGATAACTATTATTGCACGATAGTGTCCATCCCCAATTGTAGTTATCATCCCTGATAAATTAGTAGTTTAACCGTCACATCACCAACTCATATGGGGGACAAATATCACATATTACACCTTGAACATACTCTTACTCTCTTTTTCTCTCCCCAACTATTTGTACTCTCTTATTAATAGAATTTTTCGACCATTATTGTCACCTTTAGTGGTTAAATTATCCAAACCCAAAGTCCAAATTTTTTTTCTCTTATTATTAATTATTTTATATTATACACTCAACTAATTTAATTTTATATAATCAATTTTACGCATCATCATGGATGATGTTATAAGGAGGAAACTACAAGGGTAAAAAAAGTTTTCCCTATCATGCTTGCAAGGCCTATTTGACCATTCATTTTACAACTTTTAATAAGTTGATGACGAGGTCAAAGGAGTGTTGGCTCCCACTAATTGGCTATCATGAAGAGCCAGTCGACTTTGTTTTCATTCTGAGCAATGACAAATGGTAATGCCCAATTCTAGAGAAGCGAGGATTAAAAAAAAGAAAAGAAAAGGAAAGCCTGTGATTGTTTTCGTGGCACTTTGTAGGATTTGAAAGAGGTATGGTACCACAC